CCCGTGGGCGGCGCGGCACGCGCTGCGTGGGCCAGCACGACCCGCACCACCCACGGGACTGAACCCACATTGGGTTTGATCCTCTGGGGGTATGGTACTAGGCCCGACCTGATGAGCGTGTACTACGAGCGAGAGATGGGCCGCCCGATCGACGAGCTGCGGGCGGAGCTGCGCGTCGAGCTCCTGCCGCGCACGATCAAATGAGTCGAGTCACTCCTCGCTGCTAAAGGCCTAAGACTGTGTGTGTCCTGTGTGTCTGTCCTGGGTGTGTCCTGTGGAGCTTGCGTGTGTGTGGTCTCTGCGCCGGGAGCTTTGGCGGGGCGCAGAGCCAGAGGGAGAGCGAGAGGCCGTCGCGTGCGCAACTGCCGAACTGGCAATTGTCTTTCTCGAGACACGTAACCCGTTCTGCCCGACAACATACGTACGGCTCTACGTTGTACGTATGGGGCACGCACAGCCTCGCTGCGAGAACCGAGAAACAAACGGCGCGCGAGCGAGCGCGACAAACACCGACATAGGCGACGTCCGACGAGGACACGCAAATGTCCAAGCGACGGTGCGCGCTCGCGCGACGAGGCGCGAGAGTGCGCACCCACAATGTGTGGGTCGTGGAGCCGCAGCCTCCGTCACTGGTCGAGCCCGAGCTCCTTGAGCCGCTCCTGCTCGTCGAGGGCGATTAATTAACATCTAATGATTGATTAGTATTTATCTCATTAATCAGTGCTCCTGCTCGTCGAGGGCGATGCACTGCTGGATGATGGGCTCGATCTGGCCGGTGAGCACGCCTGATATTGACATTATGATCACGGGCGCGTGTCTTTTTTTCTTTTTTTTCGATCTGGCCGGTGAGCACGCCGTCGAGCGCAAAGTTGGATCCGAGCCGGTGGTCGGTGCATCGCGAGTCCTGGGGTTGGGGTGTGGTATGATAAGGCACGGTGGCCTTCTCCACACGCACACGCGCGGTGGTCGGTGTGCAGCGCGGGTCCTTGTAGTTGTATGTTCGGATCTTCTCGGAGCGAGAGCCCGTGCCGACCTGACATGTATGGTATGCTTATGATAGGATTGGAATGGTATTGCGAGAGCCGGTGCGGGCCTGCATCTTGCGCTGCGAGGCGACAGCGGCCTGCTGCTCCTCCACCTGCATCTGGTACAGCTTTGCGCGCAGCATCTGCAGCGCCAGCTCCTTGTTTTTGAGCTGCGACCGCTCCTGTTCACGGCTGGAGGTGTGAAGAGACGCTGTTCACAGCTCCTTGTTTTTGAGCTGCGACCGCTCCTGCGTCACGCAGGCAGAGAGGAGGATACCCCGAGAGGAGCCCGAGAGGGCAGAGAGGAGCCGAGAGGAGCCGAGAGGAGCCGAGAGGAGCCGAGGGGAGCAGAGAGGAGCCGAGGGGAGCCGAGAGGAGCCGAGAGGGGGTGGAGAGGAGCCCAGAGGGGGCCGAGATTGTCCGAGATTGTCCGAGATTGTCCGAGTGTCGCTCCTGTGTCACGAAGAGGCGGATGCCGGTCGGCTTGTGCGTCAGGTCGATCGCCGTCTCGACCTGATTCAAGAGCCCCTTGCCTCATTCATCTCCTCAATCTTTGGCCTCGGGTCGACCGCCGCGTCGACCTTGTTGACGTTTTGCCCGCCCGCGCCGCCCGAGCGAGCCGCGTGCATCTCGATGTCGCCGGGCTTGATCTCGACGGCAACCTCGTCCACCTGCGGGGGAGGTGTGGGGGAGGTGTGGGGGAGGTGTGGGGGAGGTGTGGCGGAGATGTGGGGGAGGTGTGGGGGAGGTGTGGGGGAGGTGTGGGGGAGGTGTGGGGGAGGTGTGGGGGAGATGTGCGGGAGATGTGCGGGAGATGTGCGGGAGGTATGGGGGAGGTATGGGGGAGGTATGGGGGAGGTATGGGGGAGGTGCGGGGGAGGTATGGGGGAGGTGTGGGGGAAGGTCGAGCTGCTGCGCCTTGCCGCACGCGTCGATCAGGGAGGTGAACGTGTTCACGCCGGGCTGCAGCCCGCGCCGCACCATCTCGTCGTAGAACTGGAAGGCGCGCGGCAGCTGCTGCGCCTTGCCGCACGCGTCGATGAGGATGTTGTACGAGACCTACAAAGGACAGAGGCCAAGACAGCGTCGACCAGTGTGAGTTGTACCAGACCTGCGTGAGCTGCACACGCCAGCCTCAGGGCACGCG